AATGAATTATCAGTTCACTTTTCTCCATGAGGGAAAGTGTTTTAGAATCCTCTGCAACAAGATACACAATTACAGTCTCCAAGCAAATGTGCAAAGGCAGACAACCTGGATTTGGGAAGCTAAAATCACTGTTTTGTATGTTAATAGCTTTTTTAGAAATATTTTTATTTGTAAGACAAATCTGTTGCCTTGAATGCTGAAGTAATGCTTATTTTTTATATGGGTTGGCTAGATCGTAAGTAAAATGTATAGCTACTGTAAAATATTTTATACAAAACTGTTTTGCTAGCAAGTTTGGAATTGTGTGCATATAAATTATTTTTATTAATTTATGTAGTAATTTCCAATTTTTAAAAATCACAAGTTTCAGGTGTCTCCAGATAGCTAACCTTAAACACAAACCATGCTAACTTATTTTTTTAAATATCTTATTTAAACAGTGGGTTTTTTAAATAAAATTTGTACTTTTGTGCCTTCCTGCTGTTTAAGGTGTTGTTTTAGAATTATTATTGTTTACATGTTTCAAGGCTGTTACCATTCTGGCACTCTGAGTGCAGAAGGTCGGGGCCCGCAAGAGACCTTTAAAATACCTTGCCTCTATAGGATTCTGCTTAAAAGCTCCCCAAAGTCACAGATTCCCTGGCTTTGGGGGAGAGGCTGCCACCACCAAGTGAAAATCCCTAACACGAGAGCTTGAATAAAAAGAGAAAACAAACTGCAGTCTTTGATAGCTGATCTCAGTCTTAGGCGTGCACACACAGCCCTCCTGTTACCATTCAGGACACAAAAATTAAATCGTTGCCTTAAAGATGGTGATTTTATAACAAAACAAAAAGATACACTTGGTAAAGCATATTAGGTTGCTAGGTGTTATAAAGCAACTGAGGAAAGAACATATTAAAACACAGAATTGTATCTCTGGGATTCATCTTAATTACAGTGTAGGGAGGGGGGACATGGACTCAGCACAAGGGAGTTTAACCAAACAGAACAAAATAACCTGATCATGTCTAAATAGACATTCCTATCTACTCACGCCTTCATGCTTCAAGGTCCATTCCATTCCCATGCCCAGTATTCTTTGTAGGCATGGTAGTTCTGCCTGGTTTTAATTCCACTTGTTCCCCCAACTACTGGCTTAAAACTCTCACAAAGAAAAATAGCAGGGGTATATCTTACTATTCAAATGTCAACACCTGCCATTGGCGGTATATCTTAGTATTCAAATGTCAACACCTGCCATTGGCTCTCTCCCTACCAGTACCCCCTAGCTACCTGAGTTTAACCCTTTAGTCACCAAATGCTGGGATGTTCAGAAAAGACCAGCACTCTTTCAATCCATCACAACATGATAAAAAGTTAGAGCTTAATCCTGCTCCCAGTGGACTCAGAGATAAAACTCCTGTTGACTTCAGTGGTGCAAGATTGTGTCTTTGTTCAGAACCTCTAAGGCACCTAAATCCCGTGGGCATTGAAATCAATGAGAGTTAGTTTCCTAAATCCAGAGTCTTAGTAACATTTCTGGGAGAGAATTTCCTAAAAGTTATCCTATTGAAATCAATGAGAATTAGTTTCCTAAATCCCGAGTCTTAGTAACATTGCTGGGAGAGAATTTCCTAAAAGTTATCCATTTGTGGGAGCCTTTCTCTGAAAATGTTTAGCCCTGGGGAACTGATTAGGTTGGAAACAAGCAATGATGACTGATTTAAAATCTAATTTTAGATCCCTAGTATTCTAAAGTTAGTGTAGGATGCAATTTTGGGGGCCCTTGGAGTTCCTAGTGGACATAAGTCTGCCTCAAAACTAAGGTTGTCAAGCAATTTTTTAAAATGAATTGCGGTGAAACAAAAGTATTTTGGCTGTGTCAACACAAAATACAAAGTGTACAGTGCTGACTTTATTTTTATTGCAAATATTTGCACTGCAAAAATCAAAAATAGTATTTTCCAAGTCACCTAATATAAGTACTGCATTGTGATCTCATTATCATGAAAGCTGAACTTACAAATGTAGAATTATGTACTTAAAAAAACCCCCTACATTTAAAAAAAAAAAAGTTAAACTTTAGAGCCTACACGTCCACTCCCTACATTTAAAAAAAAAGTTAAACTTTAGAGCCTACACGTCCACTCAGCCCTACTTCTTGTCCACTAAGACAAATATTTACATGCAAGATGTGTAAAAGATTATGTCTCTTCATGCTTCCACCACCATTCCAGGGAACTTGTGTCCATGCTGATGACAGGGTTTGCTGGATAACAATCCAAAGCAGTGTGGACGGATGCATGTTCATTTTCTGAGTTAGATGTCACCTGCAGAAGGTTGATTTCCTTTATGGGTGATTCAAGTTCTGTAGATTCCTCATCCGAGCATTGCTCTTTTAAGACTTGTGAAGGCATGTTCCACACCTCATCCCTCAGATTATCAACTACCATGAATGTTTAGGAGGTCGAGTGTGACTACAGTTGTGTGAATATCTGATACACACAACACCTTCCTCCAGTGAGCCTCCTCCAGCCTTAGCCATGCAACAGCTTACGCCCAGCTCCTGTAACACTGGATGGCAGCAGGAAAACCTGGGCTACATTGTGCACTGCGAGCTGAGTCACTGAATCCCATTCACACAACATACTTTGTGCAATTGTGTTTACATTTATGGATGTCCTCAGTGCAATGTGGACACAGGTGAACGATCAAGGTGGAGCATCTTGGAGTTCTGTAACCAAGTTAAATTCCTTACCTGGAACTAAATGTCCTGATCCTAGCAACTCAATAGCTGCTGGCTGGGCTGATGTTGGCCGAGTAAAGCCTGAGAGGCTAAATGCCAGTTGGAACAGGAGCACCACACCAGAGGAAGGCTGGCCTTGGCTGCAAGGAAGGTTGTGTTGCTGTAGCCACATCCCTCTTTGTATCATCAGCTGGAAGGCTGGAGAGCAAGCAGTTCCTGTGACTGGTCTGAGCTAAACTCGCGGACACCCACAGCAAAGCAAAGGAGGCAGCATGTGATTGTTGACCAACAGCGCATGCCCGGCTGTTGGGCCGAGGGCTGAAGCGTGTCAGCATTTCTCAGGAAAAGCTCTGTGTGAGCTCATCCGGCTGAGATGACAGTGTCAGGCATAAATGTGTGCCAGGCTCTCTGCTCTACAAAAAGCAGACTGGCCCCTATTAAATGTGAGCTGCAAAGGAGATAAATGGCTTAATGCCCTTTGAGGCACATAAAGAGAGCCAGAAATTCTATTTCCCACCAGATACACACGAGCAGGTTTTTTTCCCCTGCTGGGTTCTTTTCTAGGGGGCAGAACAGGGGGTTGAATCTTTAACCATGACAGCTCTTCTCCCTAATGCATCTGCATGTGAGTGGCAGGTGTTTACAGTTTCACTTGTGTGGCATCTCTCTGGCATCCATGTTGATTCTCCAGGCAGCGCTAGCCCTTGTACGGACTCAGTAGTTAACACAACCTCATTGCTGAGGCATCACGTGGCAGTGAGTTGTCAGTAGAGGCCTCCTTGGCCCTGGACCTAAATGTAAGCTTGGGGCTGGTGACATGACCGGCTTCCCCACCTGGACTCTTGCTCTCACCCTCTCTCTCCATTTTCCTGGCCTAACCCCTACCAGCAACAAGTCACTCTGGGCAGGTCAGAGACAGAAGAAGGTTCTCGTCTCCTGCCATCCTCCGCACTTGATCAGAGACTGAGCAGCGGGGACCATTCACAGCCCAGCACGGTGCCCACAGAAGCAATTAGGGGCTCCCCACTGGAGCAACGAACCAGAGCCCAGCCCCCACTCTGTTCTTCCAACCCACGGAGCCCCTAGTGGGCAGATTCTTCTGGACCATTTCTTCCCTGGGGAGAATACACATCTGAGGCTGGAAATCAGTTTCTTCTCACTTCATTCTCCCTCCCCCTTCTCATTGGCACAGCTGGCCTCTCATAGGGTTGGCGAGAACATTGCATCCTAGCTAGCGATTCTTCCCCTGGAATGAACCCAGCAGCTGAAATCTGCACATGGCTGTGGGAAATTGCTCCCAGAGCAGCCTCCCCTAAATAAACGGCAGGGTTAGCCGAGGACTGGGACAGGCGGCTAGACTTGGATACTTGGGCTCTGTGCTGCAGGTCTGCGTCACAACAGGCACCAGCCTGCTGGTGCCCTTTTGCTGCCCTGGCCCACTGACAGGCTGGCCTTGCCATCCATTCCTTCTGCTCTCCCATTCCCCATTGCAGGGCAAAGTGGTCCATCATTTCTGTTTGGACAGGAGTTTGGCTCCTAGCTCCATCCCTCCACTTCTTGGATGAAAGGAGCCAACAGGTGTGCAACATCCTGGTCAGCTGTTAACATCCTAAGAACTCAGCCTTCCCCCACAAGTGTCATCGTTGTCCGTAAGCTTCACACCATGGCATATTGGCATGTCTCTTCGTTGTCCATAAGCTTCACACCATGGCATATTGGCATGTCCCAGGGACAGGAGGGGTGGGACCCCAACCTTTCTTCTCAAGCATTATTTCCTATCACTTGTAGTAAAGGAGAAGCTCAATGGCAGTATATGGGCATGGACTCACAGTTACGCAATTCTGATTCTCTCCATTAACCATGAGGTTGTGAATTTAGTACCATTTCAGGAAAGAGGGAGAAATCAAACTCCCTGTTATTTCCACCCTTAGAATTCCCCGTAAATCTTCTGTTGTTACTTTAGCATTTGGTGTCAATAGTGCCCAGAGAGTGCTAGGGGCTGTACAAACATAGAAGAACTGTCCTGGCCCCAGGACACAGCATTCTAAATAGAAAAATGGCCTTTCTGTGTCTGCCTTCTAGGCTGTAAGTTTTAGTTGCAAGCCCACCTTCTCAACCCCCTTTTCCCTGTCCACTGTGTGTTCACATGCCATGGCAGGAGCCACATGTGCGTTGGTTCATTCCACAGTGCAAGCACTGGATAATAACAGCGCACAGTGCTTTGTGGTGTGGAAACTAGGGCAGAGGGCATCTGGGCATTTGCCGTACGTGGATGCCGAGGGACCCCTGGGATGCAGCTGTATTTGCCATACGTGGATGCCGAGGGACCCCTGGGATGCAGTCTGATGTATTTATGTTCCTAGGTACCTGCAGTGGCAGCTGGAAGCAGATGACTGGAGAGCAGGTGACTGGTGTAAATGTCACATATGGCCCTGCTGACCGTGATACTCAGCCCTTTTGCAGCCCCCCACCCCGCCCCTGTGTGTTAAGGGTCACTCAGTCCATTTCTACAGTACGTCATCGCTGGGCTTCTTTTCAGTTCACGGAAACAGCCTTTGCAAATAGCTAGAGCAGTTGCTGGGGGAGTCCTGGCTGAATTCCATGCTCCCTTGCCATGCATCTATGTTCATATCACTAGACGCAAACCCAACCCCATCAGGCCACTCTGGTTTCAAGCTGCAGAGGGAGAGATGCAACATCGAAGCTCCAACTCGGACTCCAAGCCAGCTGTAGTCACTAGAGAGTTACGTTCACCTGGGTTCATGTGACCCCCAAGCCCACCAAAGTTTGCAAAGCTGAAAGCCACACGGCACATGTATCGCCACCGGAGACTCTTCTGTGCTGCTTTACAGGGGGACTTAGGACTGGACAGAGCCACTGAGTCCAGTCTTAGCTGTTATGGGCAACCCCATCACATCATCCCATTCATAAACTGATCACACTGTATCTTAACACTAGTTTGGTTGTTTGCCCCTCACTGCTCCTATGACGGGGAGGGCTACTGTGGACCCTCACTCCTTTGATGGTTAGAAGCCTTCTAATTTCCAACCTTAAGTTAGTTGTGGCCAGTTTATCCCCATTTGTTCTTGTGCAATCAGTTCCCCACCTGACTCTTCAGGCTTGTCAGAACCAGGAGCCCAGCTGTTTCTGTTGTTTGCATTCCATTAAGCTCCAGCAGAGAAACAGGAAGGTCAGTTTCACTTGGGTAATTCGTCTCCCTTCCTGGAGTTCATACCCTAGCACAAGGCTGCAATGGTTGGGCTGCAACGATCACAGAAGAAAGTTTAAACCAAACAAAGAAGTTTTATTGGGGGTTTTAATGGTATCAGCTGCCTAATAAGAATTGGGTTTGGATAAAACTGCACTTTGGGGGAGGGGCAAGAAGTGGTGGATGGTCATTATACACAAACCCAGAATGTATAGCCTAAGGAGCATCGGTGATGCTCAGCCCCAAATCGAGCCGTCCAAAAACTAAAGTTACAGAACGATACATTTCAATGGCAGTGCCATTGTGTTCTGCTTAGCACCATTAGCATGGGAGGTGCTCTCCAGCCAGGAAAAGACCAAGGCCCAAATCCGGAGTGGTGCACAAGGGGGTATACTTTAGATACATGCACCCTGCCTCTGCAGCTAACTCAGGTTCCCAATGGAACTAATTGCAAGGGGTTGTTTGGATGTGCTGGCTGGATTCCTGTACTGCCCACACCTGTGAGTGCATGAGCACCTCACAGAGAATAGAGCATATGCTCACAACACCCCTCCCTGCGCAGAGTGGTTAGAAAAGGGAAGTTTTTAATCCCCATTACACAGATAGGGAAACTGAGGCAAGAGAGGCTAACACCAAAGTCCACAAAGGGATTTAGGCTCTGCAGTTCCCCTCATTTCAATGGAATGGAGCCTAACCTCCCTTTGTGTGTCTGGGACACAGGGACGTGCCCCAGGTCTCTCTCACGCAGACAGTGACTGAAGCAGAATTGAATGCCACTCTTCCGAGTCCCAGCAAGGGACTATGTGAGCTTTTAAAAACATCCATCTTGATTCTGCCGCTTTTGTCACTTGCTTCTGGCCCCTTCAGACCATGTTCCCCCTCACGTCTCTCACTTCGGCCTTGCCTGGACCCCCAGGGCCCTGCCTCGGAGCAGCTGCAGTGGGGGTAGCAATGATGCCTGGGCGGGCTCTGAGCAGCGTTAGAACACGAGATGTTCTGTGGAGCTGCCCCCTCCAGAGCCAGGGCAACAGCCTGAAGTTTCCTAACAGACACCCGGGTCTCATGACTTCTCCTCTCCGAGCTATTTTAAACCCCCAGCCAGATCGAGGCTGTTGATGTTAAATGATCTGTCCTCAGCCTGTGCCCCTCCGCGAGGGGGATATAAATACGGCGCCAAGACACTCAGCTGACAGGAGGGCAAGGAGCGCTCAGCCTGCTGCTTCTCAAAGGTAAGGCCGTGCTGCCAGCGTCGCCGGGGGTTATTCAGAATGGGCCGAACCCTGCAGGCCTGGCTCTGCCGCCTCGCCCGTTTCCAGCCGGGTCTGTCTGCCCAGGGACTGCCCTGTGCCCATGCGCTGTGGAGGCTGATGAAGGGCGTGCTCCCATCTACAGCTCCGCAGCCTGCTAGAGGCAATGGAGAGATGCCCATTGCTCTGGAGGGGCTTTGTTCAGGTCTGGAGTGACCGGGCCTGGCAGACCAGGCTTAGTGTTCGTGCTGCCGGCAAACACGGCACCCCATCCCTCCAGGCAGCCTGGGCAGTAGTCCCGTGCTCACTGCCTGTCATCTTTGGAGTGAGGGCATCCCTGGCCTTAGCCACGCCCACACTCGTCTTCACATCTCACTGCGCAGCCTGCTGCTGACAGTCACCTGCATCCGCCAGCGGGGAACTTGCACCAGGCTTTCGCTGGCTACAGGAGCAGTAGCTGCGGGAACCAGGTCAGAGGAGGGTGTCGGAGCCCGGGTGGTGATGAGAATGAGCTGGTATCATTAGTGTGGAGGGGAGCTGCCCCCAAGAGCAGCCCTGTGAGCTTCACAAGCTTGACCAGACTGGATCAGTGCCATGGTCCATCTCACCGAGTAGCCTGTCTTCCGACAGTGGCCAATGCCAGGCACCCCAGAGGGACTGAACTGAGCAGGTGACCCATCCTCCAGGGTCCAGTCCTAGCCTCTGGCAGCCAGAAATCCAGGGATACCCAGAGTGTGGCTTTGCATCCCAGCCTACCTTTGGGACGTAGCACTTCCTTTTGTTTGTTTTAAACGTGCTACCTGTTCATTTCATTGAGCAGCCTTGGCTCTTGTGCGACGTGAAGGGGTAAATAACATTTCCCTATTCTCTTTCTCCATACCAACCTTCAGTGAGCCCCACAAGAAGCAAAATGGGTGGGTCAGTGGTTAGGATGCTGGATGTGGTTTGGGAAGAACTGCAGGGGAAGCAATCACTTCTCTGCCACAGACTTCTTGTGTGATCTTGGGTGCATCACCTAGCCTCTCTGTTCCCTATTAGCACATTGGGGTTAGTAGCCCTGCCCTGCCTCACAGGGTCATGAGGCTAAGTACATTCAAGAGTATTACCATGGTGCTAGGGGCCATAAAAGTCCCTAAGCTCAGTAGTATCTGAGATATCCTAACTTCTCCTAGTCCATCCAGCATATAGGTAGCTGAGATAGAAAACTCCAAAGAACTCAGCAATGATCAGTCACTGTTGTAGATAAATGGGTGTGAAATATTTTTCTCCTTATCCATCTATTATTACCAATTGGACTGAGATCTGGAGAGGCATTATATATATAATATAAATTGACAGCCCTAATATATATTAGGGCTGTCAGTTAATTACACTTAATACAAGCAATTAACTCAAAATCAATTAACTTGATTAAAATTAATAATCATTAATCAGTTTTAATCAGACTCTTAATAATAGAATACCAACTTAAATTTATTATAAATATTTTGATTATTTTCCTACGTATTCAAACACATTGATTTGAATTCCATCACAAAACAAAGTTTACAGTGCTCACTTTGTATTATTGTTAGTGACAGATATTTGCACTGTACAAAAGAGAAACAAAAGAAATAGCATTTTTCAATTCGCCTCCTACAAGTGCCGCAGGGAAAGCTCTGTATTGTGGACACATAACTTACGAATGTAGAATTTGTTCATACCTAACTGCGCTCACAAACAAAACAGTGTGAAACCCAATTCGCCTCCTACAAGTGCTGCAGGGAAAGCTCTGTATTGTGGACACGTAACTTACAAATGTAGAATTTGTTCATAACTAATTGCGCTCACAAACAAAACAGTGTGAAACGTCAGAGTCTACAAATCCATTGAATCCCACTTCTTGTTCAGCCAATCTCTGACAAACAAGGTTGGTTTACATTTACAGGAGATAAAGCTGCTTGCTTCTTATTTGCAATGGCTCTTGGAAGTGCAAACAGGCATTGTCGTGGCACTTTCGTAGATCATGTAGCAAGGTATTTACCAGCCAGATATGCTGACCCTTTGTATGCCCCTTCAGGCTTTGGCCTCTGTCACTGTTCCATTCTGTACACATCGTATTCTGTGTTGTCATTGAAATCAATAGATTTGAAAATGTGGAAACCATCCAGAATAAGTAAATAAATGGAATTCTATGATGGTTTGACCGTGTGATTAAAACCACCATCAGCTGCCATTTTAAAAACATTCTGTGATCCATTTTTTTACTGGTTTGAGAGCCCTACCATAGTGACTGCTCCACTCATCTCTTCCAAGGCAAATAGCGCAGCGGGTCCATCTTTCGCTCATGGAATGGTGCTTCAAAGCCCACAGACATCCCCCCAACTGCCACAGTTAAGTTTCTGGGCGCTGGAACAGCAGCCTGCGTAGCAGACCTCTGCACCTTCCCTTTGGACACTGCAAAAGTCCGGCTGCAGGTAGGTGTCCTTGTTGGAATTACTCTAGTACGAGGCTACCGGACTCAGCTGTGTCAGGCACAATGCATAGATGTGTAATGGAAGACGGTCAGCGGGGCCAACAGCCCCCACGGGTCCAGGGTCAAGGTGTGAGGGGTCCCAGTTCTGTGCCCCCCAGAAGGGCAGAGCTTTGGGCAGAAGGGTGGGGCTGAGGGCAGGCAGCCTTTAGTGCTGCCCAAAGCACGGTGCTGGGCCCTTGCCCCCCAGCCGTCAGAAGTGCCTGGAGCAGCACTCCTACAGTGTTTCAAAGGGGCCTGCAGCTCCAGACCATTGCCACAGGCCCCTTGAAACACCAGGCCCCTGTGCACCAGGCCTCCTCGGCAAGCCTGGAGACAGACAACAGTTGAGACAAACAGAGATTTCTTCAGAGCCATGTAGCAAGTCAGCAGCAGAGTTGAGAACAGAGCCTGGTGCTCCCAGGTCCTGACTCTTAACCACACGGTCTCTCACGCTGAGTGAAAGGCCTTTCAGAGTAAATCACTGCACAAATCCAGCAACTTCTGACGAACGTAAGAACTGCCACACTGGGTCAGACCAAAGGTCCATCCAGCCCAGTGTCCTGTCTGCCAACAGTGGCCAATGCCAGGTGCCCCAGAGAGTGTTAACAGAACAGGGAATCATCAAATGATCCCTCCCCTGTATTCATTTCCAGCCTCTGACAAATGGAGACTAGGGACACCATTCGTGCCCATCCTGGCTAATAGCCATTGATGGACCTAACCTCCACGAATTTATCTAGTTCTGTTTTGAACCCTGTTAAAGTCCTGCTCTTCACAACCTCCTCTGGCAAGGAGTTCCACAGGCTGCACATTGAGTGGATGTTTTCAGAGAACCCTTCACAGTGACTCCAAGATCTCTCTCTTGAGTGATAACAGTTACATTAGTCCCCATCATTTTGTGTGTATAGTTGGGATTATTTTTTCCGATGTGCATTACTTTTACATTTCATTGGCCATTTTATTGCTCAATCACTTAGTTTGGTGAGATCTTTTTGAAGATCTTCACAGTCTGCTTTGATCTTAACTATCTTGAGCAGTTTAGTAGCATCTGCAAGATGATACTAAAAGATGAGGTCTTTTCTCCTCCCTTGTTTTCTTTAAGGGTAAGTCTAACTCCCATAAGACACCAGTCAGAGTTGGATGGGATCTAACACACCTGGTTTGATTTCACAGAGCTGCAGGTGCCCCGAGAGTATTTTTTCCAGCAAGTGCAGGGTGTTTTTTTTTTCCTGTAATGTGATTAAAGGCCACCAGACACCACTCTTTTTACATGACTTGATTATAGTTCGGAGTGAAACCCACCCCTGGCAGAGGCCCCTAGCTTCCCCCCAGAGTTGTCTGGGCCAGGGGCCTGCTTAAGAGGAGCAGATGTTCCTGTGAGCGTTGACCCCAGCCCTCAGAGTGGAGCTGAAGCAATACAGAGGCCTTATGCTGATCCCTGCACCAGAGTGGATTTCACCCTCTTTGCGTGGATCCTGGACAGCATTTACCATCTGCTCGCAAAGCATTTTAGGAACATGAGTGAATTTAGCCTCCCGCCTTGTGTTTTGGCCAAGTTACATCACTGATAATTACATCGAGGTGGCTTAGTGCTCCACCATTTTCAGCAGGGTACAGCAGTCCTCTTCAGTCCCTGACTTGATCTGGCCTGTCACGTTGCTATAGACTGGGTAAACAGCTGCCACGCTCCACCCCAGAGAAAGCTGCATTTCCCGGGTGAGCCAAGTGAGGACGTATCTCGTGCACAGTGCTTTGGTGTCCAGCTGGCTGGGTGCTGATGTGCACATGTGGCACAATGGCAGCCTCGCAGCTAGTTCACCGCTCAAATACACATCTGCGGGTTGACTGTATAAATGATCTAATACCTTCCTAGCTCTGTACGTGCCCCAAACCACTAGGAACGGAGCTTCCCAGTCACAAATTCTCTTTGCTAAGGGCCCATCTCTGCAAACCCTGACTCATCCTGCGCAACTTTACTTGAGCGGCTCACATAAATGAAGGTTTCCTGATCAGGCTCTAACTCAAGGGTGGGCAATAATTTTCACGGGGGAGGGGGGAGAACGGGACACCTAATGAATTTTGCTATGTGCTCATGGGCCAGCTCCACCCCACCTCTCCCGGAAGGGGTGGGGCCCAGAGAACAAGAGGCAGGGCTGGGAACTAGCTTCCCCCCAGAGTTGTCTGGAGCCAGAGGCGTTGAATTAAAACCACAGAAATGGGCTTGTGGTTCCTGGCCCTGCTGCTACTGCGTTGCCTGGCAGCCAGCCAGGATTGCTGGTGGCTATTGAAAAGGCTCACAGCTCCGTCCCCTGCCAGAGTAGCACTGGGCTGTGAGCCATTTAAATAGGATCCTGCTACCTGAGCCATTGCCTGGAAATTCGGTTGCACAGGCAGCAGGATATGAATAGAAAGTGGCCAGATGCAGCCCGTGGGCCAGATCAAAGTGTTAGGTGGGCTGGATTCGGCCCCCTGGCCACATCTTACCCAGCTCTGCTCTAACTGAATGGTCAGCTGCTAATAATGCTTGTCTGTCTGTCTGGAAGATCCAGGGAGAATCCAAGCCAACCAAGAGCATGGCGACCATCCACTACAAAGGCGTCCTGGGCACCATCGCCACCATGGTGAAGACGGAGGGTCCCACAAGTCTGTACAATGGCCTGGTGGCTGGGCTCCAGCGTCAGATGAGCTTCGCTTCCATCCGCATCGGGCTGTATGACTCAGTGAAGCAGTTCTACAGTGCTCCAGGATCGGAGAGTGAGTGCCGGCACCCCACACCCCCAGAGGCCTCATCACCCGCCTCTAGTTCAGGTCACATCCTCTGCTGGTGTGAATCAGCCCATTGGCGTCGGCAGAACGCCATTCATGGAGTGACGGGGATTCACACCCGTCCAGGTTCTGCCCCCCTTGTACTAAATCCAGCCAACCAGCCTTGAGAGTGAGCTGAGTAACCTGAGACCCCAAATTATGAATGGGGTAAATGTGCTAGACGTACATTCCCAGTTTCACCCAGGTCCCGCTGTGCCCAGAGTGCGGATAAGCTAGATGTTTGAGCCCTTGTTTTGGGGGGTGATTAGATGCTTCGATGTCTTCTTGACATCCCTGACCCCAAAATCCAGACCAGATTTAAAGAGCTTGGGGTCCTTCCAATATCAAAGCTACATTTTAGACCAGTGTTTCTTAAATTGTGTTCTGCGGCAGTTGGAGATGTGCTGTGGAGAACAACAGAGTTCAAAATGGCCGCTCTTACAGGGGCAGGCGACTTTTTTTTTTTTTGCTCAACAAAAAATCTTTGGTGTTACTCATTTTTAAAAAAAGTATTGTTTGGTGTCCCTCGGTCTTAAAAAGTTTAAGAAACACTGTTTTAGACCCTGTGCGACCATTGGTTCCCTCCCTTTGAGTCTGCAGCTGGATCAGTGTGGGCGGGCCTAAGCCAGTGTCGGTGGCTTAAAAGGGAGGCTGTCATGGGACAAGGCGAGCAGGGTCTTCTCTTACCCTACCCACAGCCTCCTGGCAGTGACTCTTTCCAGTACTGTTCAGCACCTCGAAAAACCTGACCCAGTGGGTGAAAAGTGGCAATGACCTGAAAAGTCAGGGTACGTGACTTCCCCAGGGCCACGCAGGGAGTTCACCTTGGCCTGCGGCCGCAGGGCTGGATACAGGGGAGGTGCTCACAGTCCTAGCGAGGCAGGTGAAAAGTGCCCTGGTTTGGTGGGGAGGCTGAGAAAAACCCAGCTCTGTGCATAGCCAGGTGGCCATCGCTCGAGAGACAGGCTGGAGCTTGCTACCCGCTTCATTCACTCCCATGCAGATGCCAGCATCCTCACCCGGCTGCTGGCTGGCTGCACCACCGGCGCCATGGCAGTGACGTGTGCCCAGCCAACCGACGTGGTCAAGGTGCGATTCCAAGCACACGTGAGGCTGACGGATGGAACCAAGAAATACAACGGGACTGTGGATGCCTACAGGACCATCGCCAAGGAGGAAGGGGTCAGAGGCCTCTGGAAAGGTACAGGAACGAGCGCGCCTCCCAGAGTGATCGCCAGCTGGTGTAAATCGGCATCACTCCACTGGGGCCAGTCCATGGAGCTGCACCAAATTGCACTAGTTTAGAATCTAGACGGGGATCTCCAGGGTGTTTAGGCCCCTAATTCCCTTGGCACTTAGTGCTCAATAGATTAACCTGTTTGATGCTGCGATGAACAGAGCAAGCCCGGCTAACAGAATTCAGCTCTGGCCTCTCTGGCTAACCCTGGAGGACAGAGCCAGTTGGTTTCAAAGGGTCCATACTGATTCCCTTCCTGCCCTCCTCTGTCCCCATGTCTGCTCCGGCAGAGCGGGAGGCAAGCCTGCTCCTGCTCTCTCCTGGGACTGGGCAGACTTACAGGCAGGGCAGTCTTAAGAGGGCTTAAAATAGGATCTGAGTGGTTCTTCACCTCGTCCTGCCTCAGCACTGGCTGCTGGATTTGAAACCACCATGCAGGAATTTTAAGGGGAAGGAAGAGAGGGGGACACATTTCCCAGAATGACTCTTTGTAGCATGAGCCACGGTGAACATGCTGTTACGCTGCAAAGGGCAGATCACAACTCGACACAGACCCGACCAAAACACTGTCTTCCTCCTGAACAAGGGCTCTGGTTGGTCAGAAAAACAGGGACTGGGGTGTTCAGGAGATTCCCACATCTAAACCACTGTTTTTAGGAGACAAATCTGAGGCTGCGTCCCAGATTGAGGTGTCATTAGACAAGGTTTTGGACAAAGCAATAAACTAAACAGTAATAAGTCACTGGGACCAGATGAGATTCACCCAAGAGTTCTGAAGGAACTCAAATGAGAAATTGCAGAACTACTCACTATGGTTTGTAACCTATCATTGAAATCAATCTCTGTACCAGATGACTGGAAGATAGCAAATGTGACACCAATTTTTCAGTAAGGCTCAGGAGCCAATCCTGGCAATTGCAGGGCAGTAAACCTGACCTCTGTACCGGGCATTCTGGTTGAAACTATAATAAAGAACATAATTGCTAGGTATATAGATAACATCGTTTGTTGGGGCAAAAGGAAAAACTATGTAGCACTTTAAAGTCGAACAAGATGGTTTATTAGATGATGAGCTTTCGTGAGCCAGACCCACTTCCTCAGATCATATTCTGGAAGAGAATCGGCATGACCATATATACCAAAGGAATACAATGAATTCCTTTGGTCATGCCAATTCTCTTCCAGAATATGATCTGAGGAAGTGGGTCTGGCTCACGAAAGCTCATCATCTAATAAACCATCTTGTTCGACTTTAAAGTGCTACATAGTTTTTCCTTTTGCCCCAACAAACGATGTTATCTATATACCTAGCAATTATGTTCTTTATTATAGTTTCAACCAGAATGCCCGGTACAGAGGTCAGGTTTACTGCCCTGCAATTGCCAGGATTGGCTCCTGAGCCTTACTGAAAAATTGGTGTCACATTTGCTATCTTCCAGTCATCTGGTACAGAGATTGATTTCAATGATAGGTTACAAACCGTAGTGAGTAGTTCTGCAATTTCTCATTTGAGTTCCTTCAGAACTCTTGGGTGAATCTCATCTGGTCCCAGTGACTTATTACTGTAATAAGAGTCAACATGGGTTGTGTAAATGGAAATCATGTCTCTCCAATATGTTTTTTGAGAGGGTCAACAAGTATGTGAACAAGGGGATCCAGTGGATATAGTGTACTTAGACTTTTCAGAAAGCCTTTAACAAGTTCTCACACCAAAAGCTCATTAGTCAAAGTAATCCGTCATGAGATAAGAGGGAAAGTCCTCTCATGGATCAATAACTGGTTAAAAGACAGGAAACAAAGGGTAGGAATGAATGATCAGTTTTTGAAATGGAGAGAGGTAACTAGTGGGGTCCCACAAGGGTCTGACCTGGAACCAGTCCTATTCAACGTATTCATAAATTGTCTGGAAAAAGGAGTAAACAGAGAGGTGGCAAATTTTGCAGATGATACAAGACTACTCAAGATAATAAAGTCCAAAGTATATTGTGAAGAGTTACAAAAGGATCTCACAAAACTAGGTGACTGGGCAACAAAATGGAAGATGAAATTCAATGTTGTTAAATACATTGAAAAACATAATCTCACCTTATACATATAAAATAATGGGGTCTAAATTAGCTGTTACCACTCGGACATCATCCACTCAATGTGCAATGGCAGTCAAAAAAGCAAGCAGAATGTTGGGAATCATTAGGAAAGAGAAAGATAATAAGATGAAAGCATCTTGCCTCTATATAAAGCCAGAGCACACCCACATCTTGAGTACTACATGCAGATATGGTCTCCTCATCTCAAAAAGGATATATAGGATTTGGAAAAGACTCAGAAAAGAGCAACAAAAATTATTAGGGGTATGAAACTGCTTCTATATGAGGAGAGATTGGAATGACTAGGACTTTCCCACTTGGAAAAAGAGATGACTAAGGGGGAATATGATAGAGGTCTATAAAATCATGACTGGTGTGGAGAAAGTAGATAAGAAAGTGTTATTTAATCCTCATAACTCAAGAATAGGGAATCACAAAATGAAACCAATAGGCAGCAAGTTTAAAACAAACAAAAGGAAGTATTTTTTCACACAGCGCACAACCTGTGGAACTCATTGCCAAAGGATGTTGTAAAGACCAGGCCTTTAACAGGGTTAAAAAAAGAAAGAGGTAAATTCATGGTGGTTAGGTCCATCAAAGGCTGTTAGCAAGGATGGGTAAGAATCAGGGTTCCCAATCCATAGAAATTTCATTTACAGACAAAATGGGAAAAATTTATGGACAGACAAATTTTTTTATGGACATAATTTTTATACTATATTAAGATGACATAGTCTCTTCAGCAGGGCTCAACAATCTATGTAATCTACTCACCACAGGCGAGTAGATTACAACCCGGAAGAGCCGGGTTCGGGCAATCTGCACATGCAAGCGGGGCTCACCGCGGCTCGGTGAACCCTGCTCTTCGGCACAATCAATTCTTCTCATAGATTTTGACATTCTAAACTTTAACGGTAAACAATATTAAATTACATAAATTGCCAATATGCCAACGCTAACTCAGTGGGATAATGTAGATGATAACATCACGTGGATCACGTGATTCATGTGATGTCATCTCAAACATTGAGCTAAATAAACAACTAAAACAACCCATTTCCACTGCGCCGCAGTAAAATGGCTGAAGCAGCAGAGAAGAAATTTAATTGCTATAGGATAATTGCTGTTTTTTGAAATGTTATTGCACTTTTACGAAATTTACGGACACCTGCATTTTTTAGACTTTATGGACATGTCCAATTTCGGCTAATTTTTTACGGACTTTCTGTAAATTTACTGGCGATTGGCAACCCTGGTAGGAATGGTATCCTTAACCTCTGTTTGCCAGAAGCTGGGAATGGGTGACAGGGGAGGGATCACTTGATGAGTCCCTGTTCTGTTAGTTCCTTCTGGGGCATCTGGCATTGGCCACTGTCGGCAGACAGGATACTGGGCTGGATGGATCTTTGGTCTGACCCAGTCTGGCCTTTCTTATGTTCTCTATGCAGGCCCTGCCCACAGCCTCAGACCCCAGAATAGTGGGATGCCTCTGCCCAAATGATCAGGAATTAAATCAACAATGTTGACAGAAAAATTATCATTAGCATCCCCGCTCAGTTGTGAGCGACTGAGGGAAAGGCCCATTCAGGGCAAGAAGGAATGTTCCTTTCCCTCTTAGATCCTAGAAGTTCATCGCCAGCCCACACCCCTGCAATAGACAGATTTGCCTCGTCACTTCCTGTCTCCCCATTTCCTTCTGTGCTTTGCTGCCAGGCACAGTCGGGAGAGAGAGAACTGTGATCTACCAGAGCCCAGGACCAGTCTCAGTCTCGGTTTCCATGGCTTGCTCTGCCATTGAATTACTGCGTAGCTCTGGGCTTCGCCATCCCCTGCGCTATAATGGGGATAGTGAGGTTTGGCCACTTTTGTAAAGTGTTTTGATCACTGTCAGGGGAACCGACAGCCTGCGCAGGCCCTGGGCAAGGTTGGTGGGGGTTGGCTTTGTGCTCTTGGTATGGGTGGGGCCTTGGGTGGAAGGGGAGGGACCGGGGCAGCCATCCCTCTGTGCCACCCAGCATCCAGCACACCTTCCCCGCCCCCCAGTCCTCACAGCTGCCTGGAGCATGCCACACAGTACTCTAGTGGTAATTTAAAGGGCCCGGGGCTCTCAGTTGCGGTGTCGGTGGCTGGGAGCCCTGGTCACCTCTGAATCACCAGGCCCAAGGACAACTTCTTCCTTTGCCCTCCCCCCACTCCTACAGTGGGCCTGTCCACTGTGAATGCATAATGCCATATAAATGCCAAGTATTCTCCTCATCCCTGAAAATCCTGCTCCCACAGAACTCCAGGTACTCGGCAGACGCCTTTGGGCACACGTGTAACAAACACGAGTCATAAGAATCCAGTCATGAGCTTCATCCACCCAGTTCTGCTTTCAGGGGTGTCATCTCATATGGTCACCGCCACTCTCTAACCATCCTTTGCCACAGGGACCTTACCCAACATCACCCGCAACGCCATTGTGAACTGCGGAGAGATGGTTACCTACGATATCCTCAAGGAGATGCTGCTGAAATCTCAGCTAATGACAGGTGAGGAGGGGCCTGCAGTGAGGGAGGGCGTCCTCCCTTCATCCTTTCCATCTGGGACGCCTGTTGGGTAGAGCTCTGTCTCTCTAGCCCTCTCCACGGCTTCTCTTCCCGTCGTGGCAAAGGGGGGGACAAACTACAGCTTGCGCTCCACAGCCGACCCGCTGGCTGTTTTAATCCAGTCCTCCAGCTCCTGCTGGGGAGCAGTGTCTGGCGCTTGCCTTTCTCCTCATGGCTCGTGGAAGCAGCGGCATGTTCCCCTTCTGTCTGGCTCCTACGTGTGGGGTCAACCAGAGAGCTCTGTGCGCTGCTCCTCACGCCAAGCAGTGCCCCTGCAGCTCCCATTGGCTGGGAACCAATGGTGCACAGAGCCACCTGGATGCACCTCAGTGTAGGAGTCAGCCAGACGGCAGACATGTTGCTGCTTCTGGGAGCTGCTTGAGGAGGCAAGCACAGTCTGGAGCCTGCACCTCTGAGTCTCCTCACACCCAACCCCCTACCTCAGCCCTGATCCCTCTCCTGTCCTATGAACTCCTGGGTTCCAGCCCAGAGCACCCTCCTGCACTCCAACCCCCTCATCCCTAGCCCCACCCCAGAGCCTGCATCCCCAGCCAGACCCCTCACCCACTCCTGCACCCCAACCCCAATTTTGTGAGCATTCATGGTCCCCATGCAATTTCCATACCCACGTGCAGCCCTTGGGCCAAAAAATGTGCCCATCCCTGCAAATGGCCTTTCACAAAGGGTGGTGCCCACTCTGGCAAAAAAGGGCTGGAGCCAGCTACCAATGTGGCTTCAAACATCAGCTAGAAGTTTCAGTAGCATGGAGGTCAGGATGGTCAAGTACAGAGTACTAGGCCTTAGAAGCCCTGTAGTCTGTTTGCTACTCTGCCACAGACTCCCTGCCTGGCCTTGGGCAAGTCACTTAGGACCAGATTTTCAAAGGGATTCAGGCACCTACATGGGCAGATAGGCACCTATTCGGATTGCCAAAAACTCACACTGGGTGTTAGATGCTTAAACACTTTGGACAATCCCACTTGATGCCTAAATCCCTTTTCAGACCTGGTGCTTGGGCCCAAATTTTCAGAATTTTCATTGATTTTAAGTATTTCGGTTCTGAGTCATCCAGCTTTTGGTATCTTGGGCCTGATTTTCAAGAGCACTGTGTAGAAGCTGTAGAAACCATTTTATGTTTAGCTAGAAGCTATCTTGTATAACAGAAACCATTTCAGCTTTCTCCCTTTGCATGTAGACCAGAGTGAACTTTCTATCACCCCATGTGCCAGGCCAAGACAGATGTGCTATTGGAATGTGTTAATTGGGCTGGTTTAGACAGGAGAGGTACTCCCTCGTACTTGTCCGCCATCTTGTTGATAAGGCTTTATTTTTCCTAGCTTAATTGATGATTTCTGTAATTGGATGCTCTGACGTCAGGCTGTTTGGTCAAGGGTATAAAGATACTAGGATTGATTACATTAGCCAGCCTTACTGGGCCCGGCTTTGCTGGGACCACGTTTGGCTCACTTTGCTTTACTGATCAATAAAGCTATCTGTTTGTTAGCTGCCTAAACAGAGAGGAGCGTGTTTTTGCTTTGACAACTGAGACCTTGCAGCTCCCCCGAATGAACTGGCATTACACATGGCTCTGTAGCTTTGAAAAGCAGGCCCCTAAGAATCTCAAAGTGGACATCCCAAAGTCAGTATCAAACCTCCCATGCCTCAGTTTCCCCTGTGTAGCTACTTACTAATCTCTGGGGGAGAGGATTGGGTTATCAGCGGAGGCCCTCGGGGGGAAGCTCTCTAGCTGTTCATGGCACTGAAGTGCCGATCCCATTTGAAGTGGAAAATTCCCTTGTCCCAAACCCTAAAGCTTATTTACCCATTTCCCACCCAGACACTTTTCCTTGCCATTTCGTCGCTGCTTTCGGAGCTGGGTTCTGCGCTACAGTGGTGGCTTCGCCTGTTGATGTTGTGAAGACGAGATACATGAATTCCACCCCCGGCCAGTACAGAAATGCTTTGAACTGTATGCTCACCATGGTGATCCTGGAAGGACCCACTGCGTTTTACAAGGGGTGAGACGGCTACAAAAGTATCCAGACCTATACCAGGCTGATGACCTATTCAAGGAGCAGTGTATGTGTTCACGTGACCAGGCTATGGAGGAAACTGACAGTGGACTGACCACTGGGCTGAGAGTCAGGAGACCGGGGTGCTGCTCCTCGCTCTGCCACCAGCTCATGTGACCACGGACAAGTCAATGTTGGGCCAGATTGTCCAAAGTGGCCTCTAATGATGGGGTCGGTCCTTGGTCCTGAGATTTTCTGAGGTGAAAAGTGTCACAGGGCAGGGCAACTCCACCTCTAGTTCATGTCCAAGTCCAGCAAGGGCTGTTCTGAGGCTCCTGGCTCTCCTGGGTGGAGACACACATCTCTCTTCTGCCTGGAGCATCTCCAGGCTGAGCAGTGCCCTGCCTTCACTGTGCTATTCCCAGCCCACTTGCTTTCTCATCAGAGAGGGTTAGCAGTGTGATGGCCCCCGGTATAGACACCCCACTGCTCTTTCTGGGCAGGGCTAATTTATCTCAAGGTGAACGCGCTACAGAGAAACCACGTTAAAAACCAGAAAAGAACCTGCACGCACGCTCAGCAGAGATCCACCCCATTCCTCACATGGGTTCTGGCCCGCGCAGCCCTTCCAGGCCCCACCCAGGGGGCTTCCTTGGGGATTCTAGCTCATCACAGCTTTAGTGCAGAACAAGTGCTCAGTAGGTCCAGCCCTCCCTGAAGGATTGGGGCCCTCTGGGGACTAGGGGTCCTGTCTGTTTGTGGGATCAGGAAGAAGACCCTGAGCCAGTTTGTAACCAGGCTATTTATCCCCAAGCCCTCTGTCTGTTTGTCCCTAGTAAGGATGTGAATGGTTAACACAGGGGTGAGCAAAAGGGCCTCCGCAGGCCGGATCCGGCCCATCAAGTGAGTTGATCCAGCTCGCAGAGGCCCTGCCACTCCCCAGCCCCCAGGCCATCAGGTCCTGGGGGTGGTGGGAAGCACATGAAGTTTCCTTCGCCTTGCCCCCACCCTGCAAGGAGGGTGCAGCAGAAGCAGGAGACTTCACATGCTCCCCTCTCCACCCCCAAACCCTGATTGGCTTGGGGACAGAAGGGGAAGTGCGCCAAGTCTCCTCCCACCCAGGGGCCTGAGTGCCTAGGGGGAATCTCTGGAGCGGGGCACTTCACTCGCTCCCCCACTGCCAGACCAATCAGGTCTGTGGGTGGGGAAGCAAGGAAGTGTCCTGGCCCCACCCTTTCTGCCTGAGGCCCCGCCCCTTCCAGTGCGGCCCAGGGCCGCTTCAAAAAATTCTGAAATGGCCCCAGGTAAAAAATTATTGCCCACCCCTAGGTTAACAGGTGAGGCTTGGGGGGGAGCAGCTCCCTCCACTGCAGACATCTCCAACTCCGTGGGGCCTGCTGTGAGTGGGGGGGCGCTCCAGCCCAGCCGGAGCAATCCCTGTCAGCATTAGGGAAGATGCTGCCCCCCCCACACACACTTTCCCCTCTTTAATCGGTTAACCAGTTAAACATTATGTTTAATCAGTTAAACCAGATTTTACATCCTTAGTCCCTAGCAGGGGTGAAACTAAGTGAACAGACTTATTGGCTAGTATGCCAGGGTCCTCCTGGGCACAGTGGGAGAGGGGGTTCTGGGCACCCGGAAGGGTGTGGCCTCAGGAAGGGGCGGAGCCAGGGACCAGACCCCCCGAACCAGCCTTTCACCGCAGCAATATTAAAGTGTTGCCATGGCAGCGCTTTAACGTTGGCTGTGTATGGGCCATGCCAGCAGCCCGTACGCAGCCTCCCAGAAGGGTCTGAGGACTGGCACTGGCCCTAAGGTAAATTGGGTTTGAGACCGCTGGTCTAGAGGTACCTGACTTCCACTAAATCAGAGGAAGTCTGGTGCCTTTGGTGAATCTGGGCCACCTTATTGCTGGCTGCCAGGGGCATGAAGTCTTCAGCCTCTGCACTGTTGTCCCCTCTCGCTCTAGGTTCATTCCCTCATTCCTACGGCTGGGCTCCTGGAACGTGGTGATGTTTGTGACCTACGAGCAGCTGAAACGCGCCATGATGCTGGCCCAGGAGGCGTGGACGTCTCCATCCTAAGCCCCAGGGAGGTCTCTGGGATGAGATGACAGAGGACAGCTTGGGGGACCCCGTGGATTCCCCCCGCTTCCCAGGAAAGCTTGCAGAGCCAGCTCTCACTACTGGACTTTGACAGAGACATGCGCTCACTGCTGCTGAGATGGGAAGATGCAGCTTAGGGTGGACTGTCTGCAGACAGCTGGCTTTTCAAAACCCACTGGTCAGGGTTGACGTGATGCCAAAGCAAATTACAGTATTTAAACATGGCCAAGGGATGCATGATATTGAAGCAATGAAAAGGGACTTGAAAAAGCAAAACCTTCAGGGAATCCAAACTGTAGTAAAGCTTTCGACGTGGCCTCTGAGCTCTTCGAATGCCCTTGGGCCCAGGTGCTGCCATGTGGGCAGGAAACCAGATCATAATCCAAGGGTAAGGATAAAGGGCAAAGAACGCTTCTGGGGAGGGGAGAACAATATGACAGGGAGGCACAGGGCTTAGGTTTGGTCTTATTGAATATCTTTAGAGGGAGTAAATAGCCCCCTGAATGAACATGAGTGATAGTAAATAGGGAGGAAATTGCCAAAGCAATCAAAGTATGTGACTTTTGGCTTAGTTTATTACTATTTGGTGGGTTCTTTATCCAGTTGTGTGGCCTGTGGGTTTTTCTGCTCAACTCTGGGGGCCACTTTTTCCCCAGTTTTTTTATTTTCTTGGACCATGCATCATGGTCTATGCTCCGCCTCCTGCCTTGCACGATGATATAAACCCTGCCCCCACACTGCTCTCTACTCTTACTCCCTCTAAGTTGGGCTGTTTTTTGGATCATTTTGTGCTTGTTTCTTTTTTAAGTTTTCTAGCAAGCAGCAAGGACAGAGAAATATCCCAAAGGAAATTACACTAGGTGCATGGGCAGAAATAGTCAAAAAATTCCATCTAAACTTTGTTGAAGAAATGGAGATTTGTGCAAAAAAAAAAATCTGTTTTTTTCAACAATTTGGAGTTTTATCAAAAACTTATTTTGGAAAAAAAAGACCTAAAAATCTAGCAGGAAAAATTATATTGAAAGAAATAACATAATGAGATTTAACAGAGGGTTCAATTCCTTGTTCTGCCACAGATGCAGGGATAATTCTTCCCTAGCCTCATAGGGCTGTAGTGATGCTTCTGTGATGAGGCGGCGGGGGGGGGCAAGAACTCGATATCACCAAGAGAGATGATTTGGTAGGGGTGGTCTGAGAGGGGTATGTAACTGAGTATGAAACAACGGGAAACATAGGAGGGAAATCAGGAAAGGTTTCCTAACAGTGAGGTCAAGACTGGCTCAAGTGGTGGAAGTCCCATCTTTCAAGTTGTTTACAGGTAGACCTGGTCCACACGTAGAAGCATTGCTGGCAGAACTAAATACATAGGGCCAGGTCAACACAGGGCTTTACCAGCCGCAGTACTAGCTCAGCAAAGTGTGTACTAGACCAGCAAAGCGTTCTTAATGTAGAGGCAACTTATAACAGCAAAATTGTGCCTTGGGAGCATAGCTTATTCCAGCGCCCCCAGCTCTCCTCCCAGCAAAACGAGCTATTCCAGCAAAAGCACAGTTTTGCCCAGTCTGACAGCGTCTAGTGATTTTTGTTGGCACTGTTGTGTCAGTTACAGATCCCACCTCATCACACCCCTGCCCGACACAGCTATGCTGGCAAAAGTCTGTTATGTAGAGCTGGTCTACGAGTGAGGGAAAAAAACACGGCTCAGCAGAAGTCCCAGTGCAGAGAATTTTATCAGCAAAAAAGTCCAGTGGCTAGTATAGTTGATTTTGCTTGGGGAGCAGGTAAAAAGTGTATAGGGAAAAGACCCTTACTGGTCTTAGCTACATCTCCACTGGGAGGGTTTCTGCTTGCACAGCTATACTGACAAATCCTTTCCAGTGTAGCCAAGACGGTTGATTGGCTTACACACTGAATGGACTTTAGGAAACAAACCCAGTGAAAGGATCAACCAGCTAAGACCTGTCGGGTCTTTTCCATCTCTGGTCTCTGTAGGATGCAGCCAGAACAGCTGAAGAGCTGGGAAGATGCAATAGAAAAACAAGGCAAAAGAAACACCTACCAAAACACAGGTAACTTTAGTTCCTTTCTCTCTTCCGCAGAGCTGACCACCCACAGATGGATCTGCAGCAGGATACCGACCTATCAGCTGAGCTGCCTGCAGTGCAAACTCACGAATGTCCCGGAGCTGCGCTGAGAAGGGATTATTAAAGGAGCATTGCCCGCCCCGAGTGGATCACTCATGTCGCTGGGGAATAGCGCTCATTAAGTTGTATCGCTGTTATTAACCACCGGCAGCCATTACTAATAAAAGCACAAACTGCCCCCATAGTATCTCTCTGCAGGTCTCCTGTCATTTCCTTGGCAGATTTAGTTCTCACTCTCTTTTTCCTGGCCCAGGCCAAAAGGCCTGTGTTGAAAACCCAAACGATCCCAAGACTTGAATCCTAGAAGGGCCAGCTCATTCTGCACCCCTCCGAGATGGACAAGTTACAGTCAATGGCATCCCAAAGGATCCAGGGCTCTGCAGATCTGAACCGCCGGCCTGAGCTACATCAAGCAGCAGTGCTAACTCAGAGCCCGCAGCACAGAGTGAAAATCACCACAGTCTGTACAAGGTGCATGCAGCACTTACCTGGAATGGATTGAGTTGGGGGTGGTCCTGCTTTGGATAGGGGGTTGGACTAGGTGACCTCTGAGGTCTCTTCAAACTCTAATTTTCTATGATTCTATGATGCATCCTCAAGGCCCGAGGGGGATACATGCTGCATCCTCTGTGTTGATTTGCTGCACAAGGCTGTGCACAGCTCTTCTGTAGCCACAGCCAGTGCCCTATGCTCTTAAAAAGCACTGAAATTCATTAACTCAGAAAGATTAGCCCAGCGCAGCCTCAGGTGCAGATGCAGCCTACACCACCAGATGGAGGTTTTCCGTTGGTGTAGGAACATCTCTTCCCAGCATGATATTAGTTATGCCAACAGAAGAATTCTTCTGTTCCCAAAGAGCTGCATCTACATTGAGGGTTAAGTTGGCATAGGTAGGCTAGTCAGGGTGTTTTCTTTATACCCTGGGTCCTGACTGATGTAGCTATGCTGGTATAACTTTACACTAAGCATGGACTATTCCTTAAATCAGGGCTACACAACTTTGGAAGCCCCGGGGGCCACAATGATACTCACAGCACATGCCGAGGGCTGCAACTTAAGTGTGGTTGCATATACATGCAAATATAGATGCAAATAGCTTCTTTCACACTGATGGGCATGAATACAAAGATTAAGGCAAGACTACACAAAACACAGGCCCCATTTAGTCAGTTATGTTGATATTAATAAAATACAATATTTACCCCCATTTCCACCCATATGACAGCACTTTTAATGAGCAATGACAGTCCAGGAATTTAACTATTAAAACACATATCAGCAGAAGACCATTATATTGGCTACTTTTTTGGTTTGGCTCCCACCCGTGGGCTGCGTGGTAAGCGCCACATAAACCCAAACTGCACCGTGGGCCGCAAACAAATGGGCCACGGGCTGCATGCAGCTCACAGGCAGCATGTTGAGTAGCCCTGCCTTAAATGATACAGTGACTGACACGACAGAAAACTCTTAAGCCAGATGCATCCCATTCAATTCTATTTGTAACTGGATTATGATTATGGCATTAAAGAAGTAAGCCACGCCAGAGTGTGTCTTCTGTTGGTACCCTCTTCAACTGCAGTGGGAAGCACGATAGCAGAGAGCATCAAACCCGCATTGAGGAGCTACCTGGTGTGATAGGCTCTGGCCCCTATCCTTTGCAGACCAAAGTGATGCTTTTTAGAAGGTTTCTTCAAAATGTAGCAGTAGGGGGATATTTCGGCTGTAGCAAAGCAAAGCACTTGTGAGTCCCCACTCACTTGTGGCTCTTTTGAGTGATCAGTCCCCAGATGTGCACCTCTGGGTGTTGATCCACAGCAGCAACATTGCTAAAAAAAGAGCCAATCAGAACTCTAATTCTCAGGCAGAGGTTGAGACAGAGTCTGGGAATTAGGAGACCTGGGTTTCATTTGCAACTTTCCATCCACACTAGGGAACCCCTGATCCGCGAGAGAGTTCAAGTTCCTACTGTGCTACTCTATTACTTTGGGCAAAGCACCTACTTTGTGCCTTGGTTTCTCCATTTGTGGAATTCAAGTGGAGAGAGATTCCCTCGTTTTTTAAAGTGTTTCCTGTTTTTTGAAGTCTCTCTCTCTCTGCTGCACTTTGCCAGGTGTTCCAATGCAAACCCTTTAATTTCCTCCCTTTAAAAAGGCTCCTTCTTGGAGCTTATCCCAACTCTGCTTAAGGCCAGCTTTGCGGAGCATTGTGCGGCTGGAAAGGGTGACGAGAAGTCAGCTAGTCCTTGCCTATGCTAAGCCACGATTGAGTAACCTTCCAATCCAACATTCCTCAATGAAGCCGGGCAGAGAGGCTACCTGAATTCTAAGGAGGAGGCAAAAGAAGCTAGAATGCTCCAGAGGGGTTCCCATCTCCTGGTTTCTATGACCTCAAACTTTACGGCTGTGTCTAGACTGGCAAGTTTTTCCGGAAAATCAGCCGCTTTTCCGGAAAAACTTGCCAGCTGTCTACACTGGCCGCTTGAATTTCCGGAAAAGCACTGACGATCTCATGTAAGATCGTCAGTGATTTTCCGGAAATACTATACTGCTCCCGTTTGGGCAAAAGTCTTTTTCCGAAAGACTTTTGCGCAAAAGGGCCAGTGTAGACAGCACAGTACTGTTTTCCGAAAAAAAGCCCCGATCGCGAAAATGGCGATCGGGGCTTTTTTGCGGAAAAGCGCGTCTAGATTGGCCACGGACGCTTTTCCGCAAAAAGTGCTTTTCCGGAAAAGCGTCCTGACAATCTAGACGCGCTTTTCCGAAAATGCTTTTAACGGAAAACTTTTCCGTTAAAAGCATTTCCGGAAAATCATGCCAGTGTAGACGTAGCCTACATGTTGTCTCTTGGTTGTAAAGGGAACCGTTAAGTGTAGCCACTGGAACCACTGCCTTTCTGTGGCTCAGTGTGAAAGCAGGCTCTTTGCTGGCCAGGCCTCTCGCGTGTATTGCCATCCAAGCAAAAGGTCAACTTCCCCTTGATGAAAAATCTTACACTATGTAACTTAAAGATCAGCGACGAACAGGAACCAAAACCAGACCCAAAAGTTCATGTAAAGTTCGTGCTGGTTGTGGCATGCCCAATAAGGCAGAAAAGGAAAAACAGGAAACCATCTCACCCCCTTACTCCTGTCACTTAACAGACAGGGTCTGCTAGTCTATCACAAAAAGTGGGCAAAAGCTTTCTCTATAAAACAGCTTCCCCTCCTGTATCAAATTGAGGAATCCCGAATAAACATTGGATGGCAGAATATGAGCCAGGTCCGAGGACTGATCACCCGAGGGCCACCTCCCACTCGCCGAACCAAACGAGTTCCTGTAGAGCATAACGTATACCAAACATAACGAATACCAAATATGTTGTTGTTATTGTTGTAGTTTGTGTGTCTGTTAAATGTAAGTATTGTTATCTGAAATTGTTTAGAGGTATTGTTAAGTAGTAGTGTTAAAAGTTTTAGATAAATGATTAGTCTTATAAGTAAGACTGATGTAAATGTAACTGTTAATAATCCCTAGTCCCTTGTTAACAACTATTGGGATTTAGAGAAACCTCAAAGAATTTTCTTTACTGTATTGCATTTTTCTTATTGATCATTCTAATAATTATTTGGTGCCTACGTATGTAAGAAATTGATAAAATCATAATTTATATGTAGAAGCCCTTTAATAAAAGTTTAAAAGATATTTAGTAATAGTTTGCCTGTTTCTGCGCCTCCTGGGGGCTAGCCACATTTCCAAACCTTTTACTTTAAACCACACTCAGGAAAGAGAATCAAACAAGAACACTCCTTATTCATCTCAGTGAGCTGTTCAGTGTCAAGTCCCAGACTCCCTGAGCCCTTAAGTCAGTATTATTCACCTGGACACTGCCTATTCATGAGCCAGAAAACTCCAGCTCGTTTTATCCCGCTCATCGCATCCTGAGGTTGCAGTGTTTTGACAGGCTATTTCATAGGACTGTGGCTGCTAGCTTGGAGCATGCCCATGACTGGATCATTTTTTGAGGATTTGGGGAATGAAAATGGTTGCTACAGTTCTTAACAACAGGCTGGAAAGGCCAACGTTGGGAATGCAGCTAAGGCACTCAAACTGATTACAGCAGTGGTTTTCAAACTATTTTTCTCATGACCCTGTGGAAGAAAATTGTTGATGCTCGCGACCCAACATAATGTGACAGGAGTGTGTGCTTCGGGATGGGGCTGAGGAGAGCTTTGGGCTGTATGTAGGAGGGGGCTCTGGCTTTGGGGAGGGGGGTCAGGGCTGGGGCAGGAGGGGCTTACCTCGAGTGGTGCAGTGGAGGAGCTAAGGCAGCTTCCTGCCTCTCCTGGCACTGCAGACCATACTGCACCCCAGAAGCAGCCAGCAGCAGGTTCCCAGCCAATGGGAATGCAGAGCTAGTGCTCAGGGCAGGGGCAATGCACAGACCGCTGTGTGCTCCCACGCACCCACTATGAGAGCCAGGCCTGTTGCTGGCCACTTCTGGGGCTCAGCGCAGTCTGTAGTGCCAGGACAGGCAGGAAACTGCTTTAGCACCCCCACTGGTCACCTGATCCCCCTGAAGCAACCAGACCCACTGCCTGACATTCCACAACCCAGTACTGGGTTGCGACCCATCGTTTGAAAACTGCTGGATTATAGAGTGTCCACACAGGCATGGAGTTAACCAAAATAATTTAGAAAACAATGTAGGTAAACTGGCGCAACTGCTGTATGTAAAGCAGGTATAGGTATCTAAATCCATACTTAGGCATCTAAAAAGCAACCAGGTGCTGCGTGCATGCAGTTTTAAATTGACTTATGCCCATTTATGTCAGAGCTGATTTGGGGCTAAGCTCAATAGAAAGTTTCACAGATATCTCAAAATCATTTTGGTTTTCAGGGACTATCCTTAGCAGGGGTTGTTTTTGGTTATTAGAAAGCTAGTTAGTTGAACATAAGCTTCCACTTCTTGCCTGTGTCTCATACGGCATGAGCCAAATCATTTTAAATGGCTAATAGAATCTTACCTCCGCTTCTCAGGTAATTCTGTAACAGCCATCCCTTGGCAACAAATCTTTCCAATAACTCTTAGTCAGGGAAAGTGTGTGAGCACATAAATCGTCTCCACTTGGCTGATCTCAGATTACGACTGTGTTTTGAACAAGCGTTTTTTAAGCAACAGAAGCTCAAGCAAAAACACAGCCTAGAAATA